CTCTCACCAGATTGATCGGCCATCGATTCTCTGCTTCAGGGGTGATGATGATGATGATGATGATGGGGATGATGACCATGGCAGTAACGACTTAGTTTTTCTTTTTCAGAGCTTCGGCTCTTTCCGATATTGTCCAAATGGCACCAATACGTAACTCATAGTGAACGCTTTGTTTCTATGGCGTCATCACTCATTTTTTTCCCTCAGATACTATGTTCCTGATGAAGTTTATTGGCGAAACGTTGAACATCCAGGCCTATGCGAACATCTGATTAAAACGACATCAAACCTATTCAAGTCTCAAGTATACTTTTTTCTACTTTAAAACATGATGATGATGATGATGATGATGATGATGATGATGATGATGATGATGATCCAATAGGACCTGGCAAAGTAAGTGGAGAGCCTTTAAAACGTCCTAGATAATCCACGATCAAGAACGCTATCAGCTTCACCCCCAGCATGGTCTACCAGAACTAATGGCACGTTCTTTTTTCTTGAGTCTACTTCTGTTTCAGGGTCTCTCCCTTAATTAAGCGGACCACGGGGCGGATGTCACTGGTTCGGGGCCCAAACTGGCAGTCCTTGAACTTGGGTAATTTTGTGGAGTTTTCAAAGCTCTCAACCCATTTGGCTCGGACCTATCGGAGACGGACGTTAAATTCGGATGTATTGCCTTTTAAATTACTTAGAAGTGTTGATGAGGGCTTTTAACCCAAACACTTTTTCTTTGCTCTTTTAAGTTCCTATGAAGCACGGACCCTAGAAACAGAAGAGCAGTGCAGTGTGCAGTGTAGCGGGTAAGCGCTTTGCCATCGCACGCAGAAGACCTGAGTTCGATTCTCGCGTGGGATGGACTTTTATCGAGTGTCCCACTCTTTCTACTGGGTGTTACAACCCATTCAGCCTGGGTTAGCCATGAAGCAGGCAGATTCGAAGTTCGCTTTCTAAGTTATCTAATTATTGTGTCGATTGGGGTGTAAACACACACTTAAACCACATGAACCCCTCCCCCCAAAAACCCATCCCAAACAAAACAACAACAACAACAGTAACAAAAAAAAACAACAAAAAAACCCAGCAACAAACAAACAAACACCTCCTACCCTCTAAACAAAAAATCCCAACACC